CCCACAAAACTCTCAGGTTGTTCCATGTAAATCTCTTCCTCTAATTCTCCATTTAAGAAAGTTGTTTTAACATCNCCGGTGAACAACGAGCCACTCGAAGGCTGTAAAACACACTGGAATTTATTGTGCAGAAGAAGAAGAAGAAGAAGAAGAAGAAGCAGCAGCTCAGAAAATTTCGTAAGGAAAGATTCTGGGATTCAAACTCTATTTATAGAGTTGCTGGCATTGTTTCTGAAAAGGTTTGCAACCTTTCAGAAACAGCCATGGCTGTTGGAACAGGGTTGTTTGAAATATTGCGGGAAAATGTATTTAAAATAATCCGGGAATGAAAACGGGCCTGACCGAACCGGGTCCGGGTCATGGGTTATTCCGGATTGAATTTTTCATTAATTATTTAATTAATTAATTAAATAATTGAAAGGAATTTTGTCAAAAAAGATTAATCAATCAATCTTTGACCAAATCCGAAGCCGAGCGACGACGACGACGGCGCGAGGCTTACCTTCTTCTTAACTCTTTAAGAGCTAAAAGAAGAGCAATTATATATATACCCATCAAAAGCCTTTTCTTCCTCCGATATGGGACAATGTCCCTTTGCCAAGGGAAACTCAAATATTTCATTTTCCCTCCATTTCTCATTCACCCTCTTTAAACTACACAAGCTTAAAATCCCAACAGAACACACGACCTCTGTCTGCTCTAATGTAATGTTGAAGTGTGACCATCTCATCTAAAAACTGAACCTACCATAGAGCGCACATTTTTATTTATTAGTTATGTCTTTTATTCTAGTGATTCTGTACTTGGATGCCTTGATAAGTTTAGTTTGCTGGTAGTAAAATTAATTCTTTGCTGCACTAATGGTCAACATGTGTAATAGCAAGAGCTCTTACGAAAGGTTGCAACTCCTTTTGTCTTTTATAATCTATGTTAATGTTAGTATGAAACTATACGAGTAAAATATTGGAATCGGTAGCAAAAATATAATGGAATGAATGAGTTTGGCTCAATGCTAACCCGCCTCCACCTCCAACGTCCAACCTATGAGTTGCGGGTTCCAATAAAATTCAGAGGCAGATCGAGGATTTAAATTTGATGCGTTCACTTCTTATATCTGAACCTATTACGCTTTTGAATTTATATGTTTAGAATTGGTAACAATGTTTAGTGCTTTTTCACATTTATATGTGTTGAAAATACAGGTTCAGTTGAATCCATTGATTATATACTCAATGCGCCTCTGATGACATTGGGGTAAGTGGCTAAGTAGGGAACCGTTATTGATCCCTCTCAGTATGGGGGGATAAAAAGAAACATAATCGAAGACATTTGAAACTAAGTTACAAGGATATTCTTTTCCATAATATTGATCGCTAGATAAACATTTGGAATCTCACGTATTAGTAATTTCAAACGTGTTTTCTGTGGAATAAGTGAATGCCATATACTCAGTATTTATGAAGTCTAGATTTTGGTTTAAAAAGATAATGAAGGAAGGCAACTGTGAGAAAGAGCAACACTATTTAGCGGAGAAACTTTGAAGTTATGAGTCGATTATAAGTGAGCCATGCCTGCACTCTGTATTCTGTGGTCCATTCTTTAATAACCGATAATGCTAAGCAGATGTCCCCTATTGATGTAAATAACTATGTATTCACTTGCTCGAGACCAGACGAAGGGGGAGATAACTAACTACTATTTTAGTATTTATACTAGTTTACATCAGGATTAGCCAAGATAGTACTTAATTTGCTCATTTTTGGATTCACTTCAAAGTAAGACAGAATAGATGGTGGAGCTTATCCACCGGCAACTTGAATCTTCTTTCAAGATGAGTACCGGCAGTAAATGCATCATCGAGCTCTGGATCCATTTTTCTTTAAATTTTCTACAATTAGATTTATTCACCAACTTCTGAAGCAGTTAAAGAATTGAGGAATAACGAATCGTTGATTTCTTCATTTTAGATTTTGTAGCTTACCTCTCATTTTCTGCATGGTGCCTTGTGTTAAATTTAGCAATTCAGAATTAACTGATGTAAATAATCCAACTGCAGCTGATTGACCCGGTGGACAAAACAGTGGATCGTGATCTTGCACTTGTTAAAGAATTAGGTTTGAAGCTTGTATATGCTATAAACACACATGTACATGCCGATCATGTTACTGGCACTGGCTTGATTAAGGTCCGATTTATTTTCTATGAATATGATAACTGATTAACAACAATTTCTTCTTGATACTGTTATCACCCCGCGCTGTTTTCTAGTGCTTCATTATTGTTTTCATTGTTGCAGACTAAGGTGCCTGATGTGAAATCAATCATTTCTAAAGCAAGTAATGCAAAAGCCGATCTTTTTGTGGAACCTGGTGATAAAATCTATTTTGGTGATATTTTTCTGGAGGTATGCAGCAGACATATGTTTTTTGCATATAAGATTATAGTACTTCTTTTGGTGATAAGTGTGTAGATAAAGGATATATAAGTTTAGATTTTTGTTCAAATGTTGTAGAGGACGAAAATCATAACGATGAATTGAGTGGTTCTATGAAGTTCCCGTTGGAAGAAAATTTTGTACAATTCTAACATATGTCATGTCATAAACATCTAAGCGACTTGCAAACACATAACAATACTATCAGTTGACCATGTGATTCTATTTTAGAAAAGATGAAACTGTTTTAGTATTTTTCCAATTTAGTGAGCCTAGTGGCTGTTAAGATTCTTCAACAGTTCTATGGGACCAAATAAAATAGGACAGAGGGAGTACAAGACGAATGTCTACCAAAAATTTAATGAATATTTGGCTGTAGATCAATTTTCTGGCTGATATTTACTTTCCATCTTTGAATTACATCCTGATACATTATAATACAGGTTCGTGCAACTCCTGGTCATACATTGGGCTGTGTCACCTATGTTACAGGAGATGGACCCAATCAGCTTCAGCCAAGGATGGCATTTACTGGTGATGCTCTTCTGATACGGGGATGTGGACGAACAGACTTTCAGGTATATCTTCTTGGTGAAGTATGTCATTTTAGCTAAATTCTGCTGGACCTTTGACTAAAATAAATTGAGTGTGTGCGCTCCAGCCTCCAGCTCATTTAAATGCTCTATAAATAACTAGGATTTTGATCAGTTTCTAGCTTACAAAAGGTAAATGATGCTCTAAGATCGTGAATGTTCTTGCGGGATAGGGTCAATGTTCCGTTGGGACCAGGAAAGGAATGATTAGGTGAAGAAAACTTTTGAAAAATGTAGTTGCCAGAAAACATTATATTTGGATTTTATATTATCTGAGGGATGGAGTTAATGCTCGGCCGTGGCCAGGAAAGGAAAGATTAGGCAAAGAAAACTATTGAAAATATCAATGTTTATAACTATTTTTTGGATTTTATAATATCTCTTGCTGAAAATTTGAGACAGGGATGTCCTTCGATTACCCAATCTACAATAAACTGGTCTTCAATGTTGTGCAATTTACATGGTTAAATCAAGATCAAATTAGACGGAGTACATCGACAGCCCCTTAAACTTGCCAGTGTATTTCGTTTAGACACTCGGACTAAGATATGTTCCACTTTTACTCATTTTTCCTACTTTAACTGCAGGGTGGAAGTTCGGACAAATTATATGATTCTGTTCATTCACAGGCAAGGACATAAAGTCTGTTCCTTCTATACATGTCATTACCTGTAAAAGAAAAGTAAAATAAATGTAATGTTGAATCCGTTCTTTTGTTATCCGTATTATTGCTGATCATCATTGCTTTGTGAAAACAGATTTTCACATTGCCAAAAGACACATTGGTATATCCTGCTCATGACTACAAGGGGTTCACCGTAAGGATACACCTATCATCTTTTTGCTGTTTCTAATGCTGCATATTTCGGCTTGTTTACACTGGTGCAAATCATTTTCAGGTTAGCACTGTGGGGGAGGAGATGCTGTACAATCCACGCCTTTCAAAAGATAAGGTACTTCTCTGCTAGTAGTTTTTGCTATAGTTTTAGTTTCATGCTAAGCTTTGCCTTTGTGGTTAAAGAGTGTGGTAACTTGCTGACTGTAGTTACAGTTGTGACTAAGTTGGTGAAAAGGAATCTACTTAATATACATTTGCATCATTGAGCTGACTGTAGTTACATAAAGTTCTAACTATACTTGTGCGTCGTATATTTATCTTTCTTTTTCTAAGAAAACCTTGTTCAACTCTTGTTTCTCATGTTTACTAAAACAACAATGTTTGCAGGAAACATTCAAAAACATCATGCAAAGTGAGTAAACCATTCAAATTCTTTTCTTTTTCCCTCTCAATTGCTTTTTATCTTTAGTTGCTAATTAGAGCACTTTTTCTAGCAGATTTGAATTTGTCATATCCAAAAATGATGGACGTAGCGGTTCCATCAAACATGGTTTGTGGATTGCAAGAGACTTGAAATCTTATCTTTGATTTGATCCTTTCATGGTCCCGCAGGCTGTAAATAGAGAGCAGGATACACACAGTTGGAAGTGAAAGCGGACTATACTGTTGAATAATGTTGAATAATGGTTCATCCAATATATGATTTTCCAAAAGCTTTCCTGAAATAATATGAATCTTGAGTGTTTATATGATACTTCTTAATATGAATAGTGATCTTTTTTTTTCCTTTTCTTCTTAGTTGGTTGCTCCAAAGTTATTGTTAAATCATTTGGCTGAAAGATTTTCTTGCATTAGGACAGCAGATAGATGACTAAACATGCTACTGCCTATTCTGTCAAAAGTTTTCTATATTTTGTGCAATCTTTAGACCACAAGCTCACTTATATGTATAAGTTACAACATGAACACTGAAGTACTAAAGAAGATTCTTGAAGAGTTGAATGACAATGTGCATATAGTATAAGGTGTTAAAGTACTTTCACAATTTCTGCAAAGAATTGTAGCAGAAGCAGAGCAAGGGGTTACCACTATACTCACACTTCATGGTGCAATGTCAAATGCAGAGGCGAATTCAGGATTTAAACTCTATGGGTTCAGCTTTTAAGATTTTTAGCATTGAACTCATTATATTTTTAAAATTATGGGTTTAAATTTACTATTTATTGCAATTTTAGTATATTTTGCACATAAATTTATGCTTCGCATCGAAAGTTATTGGTTCAGTTGAATCCGTCACGTATATGCTACATACGCACCTGGCCAAATGAAGCGCACCTAAATTAGTAAAAATACATTACTGAAAAGCTCAAATAGATGGAAAAAGATTGGAGGGGCCATCTTGAAGATGTGCACTTTAACAGCATCAAAACATATGTTATCTTATGCATCTAAGTATACCTGAGGTTGAAAATGTCTAGGTACATGCGTGTTTGGTAGGATGAAAAATATTTTTTTCGAAAAATGTTTCTGAAGATGGTTGATTGGAGAGTGAAATATTTTCTATAAATTGTTTTACCAAAGATTGATAATAATGTTGACAAATTACAACATTGTTTCAATGAATTTGAGTACTAGAATTTAATAATAACATTTGTTTACCCTTAAAATAGGATAACAATTGAATTTATACGTGATTTTATGGATACGTGATCTAATTTGATACAAAGTGAGAAATCAGATTAATGTGGAAGTAAAAAACAAAAAGATAAATGCAACCCACGCAAATTGAACATTCTTTAGCATTGTGAGGTTAATCTCCCTCGAGCTAGAAATGATATTGTGGATGCCGGAGTAAAATGAGATGTGACAAAGCTAGAAATAACAGTATATTGCCTTTTGATATATGTTACAATGTGTGTTTATAAATTACTAAGTCCCCTTTATATATTAAGGGAGATCTACCTTTTAAGATATTATTTTATAAGAAACATAAATCCTTGATTTTGAAGACAGTTGGCTCCTGTTTTGACTAATTCCGTAATTTCTGCCATAATGATTGGTTAATGGCGAGAATTACGGACCTCTGTCGGATGATTTGGCAAAGCTTTTCTTCAAGGCCGTTAGAAACAGGACCAGTTATGCCTTCGATAAACTCGAGGGTAAATCTGATGGTCTCGATGGCTAGTTTTGACGATGCTTTTGAGTCCGACAATATCATATTCCGATCTTGGCTGACCATACTGGACATCAGATCGAACTTCGAACTTCGATATCGAGCTCGGTTTTACCCGTGTACAGATAGTCCCCTCATTTTTTGGAGATTAGGCGACAAGAAATGATATGAGCCTTCGGTTCTCACTTCGATAAATCATGACGTAAGCGACAAAAGGTAACTGAAACGTCCCGTCGGTCCAGTCTTCAAGGCATTAAATGTGTGTCAGTTAACGGTTGGCCACTTTGGGATGTGAACCTCTGCTTGAGAAAACTATAAATATCCTTCAACCCATTCATTAGAACTTTTACATTCAAACTCTTCTTATGTTCTAAGAAAGCTTCATCACCTTCATCTTCTGGTTCTCGCCTCTTTCTTTACCAACACTTTCTTTTCTCCACTATTTATAAGAAATGGCAAAGACTTCAAAGTCCGCTCCTCAAAAAGAAACACCTTCTTCTTCGAAACCATCTGAGAACGTTCCACATGTTGCTACTGAGGAATCGATACTAGAACCCTCTCTAAAGTCGTATGTCCTTGCGGGGTTCCCAACCGGGGCCGAATTCAAGGTTGAGAAGACCCATATGGTACCGGGTCGGTGCGAGCCAGTCTCGAGGTACATATGTACGATTACTGCCAGTATCCTCGATAAAGTCAAAGAGGACTGCAACTGGGAAGATAAACTCGTAGTGGTCCCTACCCCCGAGGAATCGATCAACACCCACGTGGAGGGTTTTTTAAGGGTTTACACTAACCCTTTCATGCTGGGTCCTTTAGACCCGATTATCATAGCCTTTTGCAAAAGGTATGAGGTGACTCTCGGGCAGATTCATCCTTCATTTTGGAGGATCGTTATTCTGCTTCGATTCTTTGTGAGCAAGGTCGAGGGGTGTCCATTTACCATCGACCACCTCATGCGCATGTATCGCCCTCTACTTTACCGAGGGGATTAATCAAGCTCCCATGCCGAGCCACTAAGGCCTTATTCTCGAGTATCGACGAGGATCGGGATCAGGGTTGGTTGGGTCGATTCGTTCGAGTGAGGACCCCGGACTTAATCCCGGTTGCGGACATGTCATTTCCTCATAAATGGAACATGAAACGTAAGTATAACTTTGCCTTCCATATTTCTTTTATTGCTTTTCTTTTCCTTCCTTTCTCATCGATGTTATGTGATGATGCAGTTGTTGCCCAGATGTCGGACGCCGTTCCTCAACTCAAAGAGTGGGTCGAGGGCATTACGACACATAGACCTTACTCCGAGCGCTTATGGCGTGAGCTCTCGAAGGGCCGATGGGAGGCCCGTAATCATGGTGAGAATTTTTCCCTAATAACATATTTGATCTTAATTTCACATCATTGGTCTCTGAATCGTTTTACCCAGATAAATGAGCTAGATCCCCCTAAGCGAAAAGGTTATACCTGGGTTAAGCTATGTAAAACATCCTCAGCGAAGAGTACTTCTACCCGGAACAATGAGCTGGATCCCCCTAGGCGAATAGGTTCTACCTGGGTTAAGCTACGAAAAACATCCTGAGCGAAGAGTATTTTTACCCGAAACTATGAGCTAGATCCCCCTAGGCAAAAAGGTTCTACCTGGGTTAAGCTACATAAAACATCCGGAGCGAAGAGTACTTCTACCCGAAACTATGAGCTAGATCCCCCTAGGCGAAAAGGTTCTACCTGGGTTAAGTTACGTAAAACATCCTGAGAAAAGAGTACTTCTACCTGGAACTATGAGCTGGATCCCCCTAGGCAAAAAGGTTCTACCTGGGTTAAGCTACGTAAAACATCCTGAGCGAAGAGTACTTCTACCCGGAACTATGAGCTGGATCCCCCTAGGCGAAAATGTTCTACCTGGGTTAAGCTACATAAAACATCCGGAGCGAAGAGTACTTCTATCCGGAACTATGAGCTAGATCCCCCTAGGAGAAAAGGTTCTACCTGGGTTAAGCTACAAAAATGAGAGGTATGATCGGCAGTGATGCATTCTAAAAATAAAGGAAAGTGGAGATTTTGAGGAAACTTACCTTTGGTGACATTCGTCCTTTAAGAATCGTTATTCTGCACTGCTTTGTTCCTGCTTCAAAACAAAGAAAAATTGTGAGTTTTAAAAGTTGTGGTCGGTTTGTGGCCTTGATGTCTTTGGCAGCTTGGCTTTGTGCCCATCTTCTTTTGATGATGATTTTAACCTGCCACTAGATGTTTCCTGAATACCACTTGCATTTCTGGCCCCAGAGAGCCTTTGACTTTTCAAACTTTTACATGACGGTTGGTCGCGTGGGACTTAACTTTTTCAACATTATTTTGCCTTTGTGGCATTTCACTTTCGACTTCTTTTCTCCAAAACTTTCAATTTCAGAGCATTGGGGGACCTTTGGCTTTTCAAACTTTTCCAAAACGGTTAGCCACTTGGGACTTAACCTTTTTCAACTTCATTTTGCCCTTGTAGGCACTTTCAATTTGATTTCCTCCTTTTGAGAGTTTTTGATTTCATAGCATCAGCCATTATGGCCAGTCAGGGTTGACTTGATGCCCCTACTGAGGCTGGGTGCCTCTTGAATATTAGCTTATATCAAACAAAAGCCCTGTAAATCAGTCTTGCCATCCCTTCTTCGCCTTAGTTTTGGAACAAAGTTAAATCGAAAGGGATTCAAAGAACAACAAACAATGAAATAGACAATGAATTTAGACAAGAGGTATCCCTTTCGGGGAAAGGAAAGAAGGACCTATCTGGAGTACATGCGGACTTCAATGAACTGACATGCCTTTTGGACTGGATGCCTGATTTGTGTAAACCGTCTGACTCTCAAAATTCATCACAACCTTTGCCTCAAAATCGAGAAATCTTGCCCAGGACTGTGTCGATGCCAATGGTTGTGAGGATCCTCTTTTCGATCAGTTGCACCCTTTGTGGGTTTTTACCAGCTGACCTCTCTCTTCTCACCATCGCCTTATAGTGCTCCTTGTGAGTTTTCACTAAAAAGACTCTCTCATTTTAATTTCTTTACTCACCACTGCCTTAAGGTGCCCATGAGAATTTTCACCAATAAGACTGTCTCGTTTTATTTCTCTCATTTTGGTTGCACCAGATCCAAGTAATTGTATCCGCCAATTTTGAACATTCTCGTTGATTGATCGAAAGGACTTGAAAAGGATTTGGGTAAAAAAGATTTGGATTGAATTACAACTTTGGAACCTCTCAGGCGAGACCATCGCCGAACCATTGTAATATCTGCCCCAGTTTTAACTTTTGGGGGAATGTGAATTTTCATTTTGGTGTGACTGAACCCCAGAGAGAGGCTGCCTACATATCCTTTCGGAATCAAGTCAAACGTAGTTCAATTAAACTTTATTTTTGGTTTTCTTTTATTTTTTTTTTCTTCTTTTTTTTTTCAATAACTCCTTCAGGTTCCAAAGAGGGTAATCAAAGAAAGAGAACCGGCTCAAAGGGTTTGCAAAGGGTTGACAGTATTTGGATAGCGAGAATGAAAGCCTTCGTCATCCCAATCGGAGAACATTAATGCTACATAGAGTAGGGGTTGGCATAATACCGACCGAACCGAAAAATCGGCCGAA